GGGAACCTGCGCCTGCGCAGAAGGGGACTCGCCATGTTTGAATTGAGTAACAGACATTAGTGAATAATGGGAAGAGTTTTTCATGCTCTAGAGGTAAAATTGGGCTGACACCTCTCAAATAGGAGTCGAAATTGTTAATGTGCATTTCTGCATAACTTGAGATATCAGGCGACTGGACAAGACAGCTCCAGGAACCTCAGATAAGTCTTGTGTTGTAACTCTGGGCAGTGTTATTTTCATAGATAGACAGTGAGGTTTTCTGAGTATGATACACCTTAATCTCCAGTCAAATTCGTGAGTGATATTCTCCTTCTGTTATGTAAATGTGTATATATATAATTCTTTATTAATTTAATATACAGTCCACCAAATTTTATTTACCAGAATTCTTGTTGATGCATCTTTCATTTGTAATTAATAGGTCTAGAGCAACTTGTGGATATGACAGTTTTAGGTATCGAAGGGGGACATTTTTTGCGACCTAGGTGTCCCAAATTCCTACTTGTCTATGTAACTGATAAATAATAATTATCTTTGTTATCATTTACTGTTATGTACATAATGAGTTACATTCAGATAAATGCAATTTTCCACATTTAATTTGCCCGTTGGTCCTTCTTGAACCGGAGGTAATTAGTGAAGTCATTAATTAGTTAATTACTTAATAATTATGCTATGTGAAATGACAGAAGGAGGTGGATGTTAAGTTCACAAATTTACTTAATGTGTAGTGGATTATAGTACAATATTAATTTGGATAAGCCAGGTGTGGCTAAAGATTATATTGTGTATAATATTAATTTTGCTATGCCAAATTCTGGCAAGGATTTATATTAATTTGTATAATATTAATTTGATAAGACAATTCTGGCCAAGATTTATATCAGTGTATGTGTAATTGATAAGCCAAGTGTAACTAATTATATTAATGTGCATAATATTAATTTTGCGATGCCAAATTCTGGCAAGGATTTATATTAATTTGTATAATATTAATTTTGATGAGCCAAGTCTGGCTAAAGGTTTGTATTAATGTACATTTAAAATTTATACTACAATTTTCTTACATGTAATTGCAAAACTGTAGCTAGGATTTATTTAAAGGTAAAGTGTACTATTTACCTTTATAAAGTGCATAATTTAGTACATAATCAGTGTTATTAATTAAGTTGAATTTAATACATTGCAGCATGGCTGAAAATGAGGAAATTAATATAGAAGACAAACATATGGAATATAGAGCAAAGAAAGCATCACTGCAAGCTAGAAAAGGTCATGTAACCAAGGCATATAATAAATGTTTGGAATTAATGAATCAAGAAACTGTGAATACTGATGATTTAAAATTATATTTACATGCTTTGGGGAATAGATATGATTCATACAAATTATATTACAACAAATATGAAGGAGATTTGGTAGTAAACTGTGTAGATGAGATTGAAGTAGATCTTATGATTAATCAGTATTATGAATTAGAAGAAAAGATTCTTTCTTGTAAAAGTCAGGCTTTGAATAAATTAAAATGTGTAAACCAGGCAGTTAATCAGTCTGCTCCAACAAATAAGATGTCTTTGCCAAAACTCCCAGAATTATGTTTACCTGTATTTAATCTTGGAAAAAATTGGGAGGAATTTTGGTCAATTTTTAAAGCAGCTGTGCATGACAGGAGTGACCTAGCCTGTGTAACTAAATTATTTTACCTCAAAGGACAGGTAAGAGGAGATGCTCACATACTCATACAAGCCTTTCCCAATGTAGATGACTCTTACAAAGAAGCAGTTGACTTGTTGAAAGTCACTTATGGTAACACAGAGAAAAGTAAGTTGGATCTAGTGAATAGCATTGTTAATTTAAAATTTCCAGATCACACTTACAAAGGTTTACAGCAGTTTAGAGTTAAACTGGAGACCACTCTCAAAACTTTAAGTAATAAATATAATCTGAAGGAATCAGGCTGGTTATTGAGTGCCATTGTACAGAATAAATTAAGCTGTAAAACACTTGAATGGATCTCGAACAAGCATCACAAAGGTTATTTTGGTCTGGAAGAAATAAGACTAGGTCTACAAGAATTAATTGTTCAGTTGCAGACCAGCCAACCTAGTTTAAATGACTGTTTGATGACAGGTCTGTCGTTGACGGAAAAATTGGGAGATATTAAATTTCAGAGTGAAGCATTATGCCTTTACGGCTGACATAAGTAAAGCTTTCCTAAGAGTGGGTTTACAAGAGGCTGACTGGGATTGTACCCGCTTCTTATGGCCTGAGAATCCTAGTGACCCACTTAGCCCTCTGAAAACCTTTCGCTTTAGAAGCATATTATTTGGTGCTACATCCCGTCCGTTCCTACTTCAAGCAACAATAAATGCACACCTTAAACATATGGGAAGTCCATTGAGTAAAGTAACGAGCAAACAATTTTATGTGGACAATTTCCTCGGTGTGACGTCAACTGAAGAGGAACTGTTAATGACTTACAGAGAAGCTAATAAAATAATGCAAAGTGCAAATATGCCTCTGAGGGAATGGAATAGTAATTCATCCAAATTAAAGGACGAAATAAGTAAAGATTACCCTGGAGATGAAGTGCCAAAATGTAGTAATGTATTGGGATTAACTTGGGATACTGAGAGAGATTTGTTAATGTTAAAACCTAATAATTACAGCATGCCCAGTAAATTAACTAAGAGAGTTTTGCTTGCTGAAGTTTCCAAATGTTTTTGATCCACTAGGTTTAGTGTCACCCCATACTATAAGAGGGAAATTATTAATACAGGAAGAATGGAAGCTTAAATGTGCTTGGGATGAAATTCTACCTGAGGAATTCATAAACAGGTGGGATGAATTAATTGGTGATTATGAAAAAAATCCAATGTTGGAGTTCCCACGCCAGGTGGCCAATCCAAATGGGAAAAATGTACTCTACATTTTTGTGATGCTTCAAAATTGGCATGTGGAGCAGTTGCTTACCTTCAGTGTAATAGTGTTATTTTTCTTATGTCTAAGGCTAAAGTGTCTCCAATTAAATCATGTACTTTGCCTCAGTTGGAATTAACAGCCATTTATGTAGGTGTCAAATTAGCTAATTACATAAGAAATAAGTTGAAGGAGATAAATATTAGCGACACTGTAATTTGGTCTGATAATGAGGTATCCTTACAATGGATTCGTAATGGAAACAGTAAAATTGTGTACGTACAAAACAGAGTTGCTGAAATTAATCAGATGCAAGAGAAGTATAATAGTTTGGGTCAGCATATGTTAACATTTAATCATATACCTGGTGAGGGGAATCCAGCTGATTTCTTGTCTCGAGGTTTACCTTATGCTAAATTTGTAAATGCTGTATCATGGTTTAAAAGACCGAGCTGGTTGGTAAATAAAGCTAATTGGCCTGTGCAAAAGACGTATAATGCTCCTGTTGAAATTACTGTGACCACCACTCCAATAGTTTGTCCTTCAGCCATTGATATAGGTATTCTTTTTTACCCAAACTAATCAATGTAACTAAGTTGGTGTTTAAATTTCTAAACAAGATGAATATCTCATATAAGTTTTCACATCCTCTTGAATATTGGATAAAGAGGGTACAAGAAGAAATCTATGGAAATGAGATTAAATTGATAATGGAAAGAAAAATTGTGAAAGGTTTCATAACAGAGAAATTGGGGCTGTATTTAGAGAACAGTGTAATTAGGTGCAGAGGTAGGTTACAAAATGCTGAATTGGGTGATTATGTTAAACACCCTATCTTACTGCCCAAAACTCATCATCTAACAAATTTGATTGTTCTAAATGCCCATAAAAATGTAATGCATGGTGGGGTACAAGATACCTTAAATTGTATTAGGGAAACTTTCTGGATTCCACAAGGACAGCAAAGTGTAAAAAGAGTGATTAAATCTTGTGTAATATGTCGCCGTGTGGATGCCAGATCCTATATGTAACCAGGCCCTCCACCATTGCCAAATGAGCAATTTGAGTCGTTTAGCAACGAACTCCGTCCAGCCGCAGTGTGGAAAATACTGTATATATTTTCCAGAAATACAGTAGTTATATGTAAATAGATGGTCATACTGTATTTAATAAAAATTTATGTTATAAAAAATGGGAACCTGCGCCTGCACAGAAGAGGACTCGCCATGTTTGAATTGAGTAACAGACATTAGTGAATAATGGGAAGAGGTTTTCATGCTCTAGAGGTAAAATTGGGCTGACACATCTCAAATAGGAGTCGAAATTGTTGGATGTGCATTTCTGCATAACTTGAGATATCAGGCGACTGGACAAGACAGCTCCAGGAACCTCAGATAAGTCTCATGTTGTAACTCTGGGCAGTGTTATTTTCATAGATAGACAGTGAGGTTTTCTGAGTATGATACACCTTAATCTCCAGTCAAATTCGTGAGTGATATTCTCCTTCTGTTATGTAAATGTGTATATATATAATTCTTTATTAATTTAATATACAGTCCACCAAATTTTATTTACCAGAATTCTTGTTGATGCATCTTTCATTTGTAATTAATAGGTCTAGAGCAACTTGTGGATATGACAGTTTTAGGTATCGAAGGGGGACATTTTTGCGACCTAGGTGTCCCAAATTCCTACTTGTCTATGTAACTCTGATAAATAATAATTATCTTTGTTATCATTTACTGTTATGTACATAATGAGTTACATTCAGATAAATGCAATTTTCCACAAATATAATGGACAAATTCCCAACAAACTGGTATAAAAATTTTAATAATATTACTTATGATATTATTTAAAAATTTCAGTTAATTTCACTTTTACTATTTTTAATGTTTATTTGATTTACTGTGTTACAAGATGTACATTTCAGACACTTCCAATACTATACAGGTTTTTTTCACACGCAATGTAGATTTCCCTCACATACATTGTATGTATATTTCTCGCATTTATTGTACATTCTCTCACACTTTGATTTTTTCAGATCTCGCAGAAGACGCGAGTGTTGATGCTTACCCAGAGCCGCCTCAGGCCACACGGTCATTTTAAAATGCACAACAACCGAATCGCTTTCAGCAACGCCAACTTCGACTGGAGCGACATGATGTTCCAGCAGCTGCTGCATCACTACAGAGCAATGCACCAAAACACTCAGGCCCTGCGTGACTTCACTCCGTTCTCTAGGGTAATGAAATCTCATGGGAGAGGTATTGGATCAGTCTCCCATGAAAAGGGAAAAGGACAAGTTACATCCAGAGGAGAGGAAATAGGACAAGTCACAGGACGCGTCAGGTTAGCTCAGAACGAAGCAGGACTTCTCAGAACAGTATTCAAAAGGAAGGATGTAGGACAAGTTAGGCCAGTTCCCCAGAAGGGTAACAGACAGCGAGTTAGCGCAAATTTTTCAGTGAAGGAAGATGAGCAAGTCAGGTCGGGGACACCAGAAGCAGGACTAGAAAAAATCATGGACACAGGAGAGGAAGCAGAACAAGTCAGGTCAATGCCAGAAACGAGAATCCCAGGCAGAGAAACACAAATGGTGACGAGGACCTTCCGGGATCATCTGGTGCCTCAGGAGAGTGGTGATGGCGGGGGTCTGTGGTGGTGGGACACATTCCTGCCCCTCAACCAGGCTGAGATCTCAGAGTGTGAGGAACTGTACAAGCGAGGCCTGACCAACCACCCGTTGTATAAGAATAATCTTTTATTATGCAAAGACTCCAGTCACGCAGGCAGTGCCACGACACATGACCTCGTCACAATGATACTGAACCTCTTATGCAACTCCGTGTTGGCTCTACCCAGTACTTACTGCTGCAACTGAGTCCGTATGGTATGAAGCCTGGCTGAGAGAGCACAGAATTTGTTTCGCTATTGAAAGACAGAAAGAATCCAGCCTCTGCTTCTGAATGACTCCCCCTGGTTTGAAGCCTCATAATTTTTTATATATTATTTGTATTTCCATCTAAGACACTCGCCGAGATAAACATTTGAACTAGATCCCAGCTCTAAGCAGAGTAACCCATATAAATCATTCTGCATTAAGAATGGTAAAGGCTCGATTCTCCTGATACGTATGGAACGACCACCTGGAGCTTAAGCCCTATCATCTACAGTAATAAAGAATGTGAATAACAAAATATAAAACCAGATTCAAAATGACAATGATATTCATACAAAATATACCCAGTTTAATTACATAAACATTGTTGTTGTTAATTAAGGCACAGCAATGGTGATTGACACTAACTAAATGCATATCAATCTAATCCAGAGGCCCCAAGCCATCCCTAGTTTTTAGTGTAAATTAACCTCCTAACGGACAGGCTGTTAGGAGAATAAGCATACTAGGGTACTCACGTGACTGTGTGGTGTCCTTGTTGATACCTAGCTTTGGGTCCAAGATCCAGGCGCTATTATCCTCTACTACACTGATGCTCAGTGGAGTGAAACGTCGCTTCGTCTTGCCACGTGACACATTATGGTTATGAGATTCCATTAATGTGAACTAAATAATGGGTTCGGTGTGCCGGGGGACGTGGGATGACGTACGGTGTCCTCTACTCCAGCCTGTTGCGAATCCAATGTAATTAAGAACCCACTAATCACTTAATCGAGTCTCTAGGAATTCTAACACAGCAATCATTAAATAGGTGTTGAGTGCAGTATCTCTAGGGCCCCTCGCAAGGGCCCGATACCTGGTACATGGTGCCTCTAGCTTCTACGAGAGCCTACAGCCTACTGCTGCCCATTTGAAATGAGTACTCCTTGGAGTGCACTGGGCAGCGTTGCTAGATATGGCAGAATTAAGGATATTTACAAACTGCCTTAAATACGTTTAGAATGACAGCTCATTTCTAACATTCTTTAAAGGGGGATCCTGATGAGATATGAATATAAATATGACAAGTCATTAATGACTCACATGTCAGGAAATGTAATATTTAATATTTGGTCTCTCGTGGGGAGAAGAAAAAGAGGGAGGAGTGGAGAATTCAGTTAGGCTCACTTACTCCCTTTCCCTTTTCCTTAGAGAAAGTGTAACGGTTACTAATCATCCCCTCTTCCACTCCGCCTAGGTGGAGGACATGGTGGAATCGTTAATTCGATGGAATTTTTTTTACCACAAACATGCATATAATAAATTTTACTAAATAAAGAAAATTATATATGGTTATTAAATAACATAAGAATCATACATGTGTAACAAATACAACAATTTATATAATGAAACATATATCATTTAAATTATACACTTATAAAGAAAAGTGAGATGAACATGGTTCATCAGAGGCTTAAGTTACTTGTCCTCACCTCTTCAACGGGGGCTCCTTGGCACGGTGAAGAGGCTTTTGGTCTGAGGAATTAGACCTTTCAGTCTTTTTCCTCCGACCCAATCTAATTACCTCCCACTTCTCCATCCTCCACATCCCTCCATTCCCATTCCTCCTTGCCCCTTCCTTTCCCTATCCCTTTCCTGATTTCAGTTTTTGAGGTCCTTTCCTCAGACATTCCAGTTCCTAGGTTGGGGAAAGGGTATCGTTGTCCATCCCATTCTGTTGAGGTCCTTGATGGTGGTGTAAGATAAGATAAGATAAGATTTCGTTCGGATTTTTAACCCCGGAGGGTTAGCCACCCAGGATAACCCAAGAGAGTCAGTGCGTCATCGAGGACTGTCTAACTTATTTCCGTTGGGGTCCTTAATCTTGTCCCCCAGGATGCGACCCACACCAGTCGACTAACACCCAGGTACCTATTTGCTGCTAGGTGAACAGGACGATAGGTGTAAGGAAACGTGTCGAAATGTTTCCACCCGCCGGGAATCGAACCCGGGCCCTCCGTGTGTGAAGCGGGAGCTTTAGCCACCAGGCCACCGGGCCACCTGTAGTCTGCCGTGGAATCTGGGGATGTCCCAATCCCTCTCCGGTCTCCCAGGGAGAGGCTTCCGATGTCTTTTGGGTGACGGGAGTATCTCTGGAGCTGGAGGCTGCCTTTCGGATTCCGGAGGAGATATGCCTTGTTTGCGAGTGTCTGGCTGCCCTCTCTTTTATCCACCGAGGTAGCTCGGTAGATGTGAGGTTGCTATCCTGGATTGCTGGTTTACTGGCATGAAGGGTAGGTTATGACGCGGGTTCCATGCCGCATCTGCACTATTGGCTGGACATGATACCTCACACTATCATCCCATTGCTCTTACCAGTGCATTTTGTAAGGTGATGTGGTATTTGGAAACGGACAATAGTCTCTTCATTAGTCAATATAGCTTTCGTAAGGTCCACTCTACTGTTGACTCCTTAATCCACTTCGTTACATATATTCGTAATGCCTTTGTTAGTAACCACTCAGTTATCGTGACCTTTTTGATCATGAAAAGGCATATGACACTACTTGAAAATATAACACATTTACCCAGATTCATTCCTCAGGATTCCAAGGCTATCTGCCATTTTTCCTTAAAAAACTCTTATCTGAGAGATATTTCCATGTTCAGTTTAATAATTTGCTTTCCCAGGACTTTGTCCAAGCTGACAAATGTTTCTTCATTGAACGATCGCTATGATGTTCATTTCCTCCGCTATTTTGTCGTCTATCATAACCTTCACAATCCTTCTATGCAGAATAGTAACAGACGTTAGCAGTCGTCCATTATTTCTTCACCACCCGTTTACTCCACCACCTGTTTACTGGTAGCTAATGCTCTCGCTTCACAAGGCGAGGGCCTGGGTTCGATTCCCAGCCAGAGTAGAAACATTGGGCGTGTTTCTTTCCACCTGTTGTCTATGTTCCCCATCAGTAAAATGGGTACCTGGGAGTCAGTCGACTGGTGTGGGTCGCATCCTGGGACACTGACCTAATTTGCCCGACATGCGGAGCATAACAAGGGACTTTCTATATAGTAGTATGTCATTGTTGTCAGCTAGGACTGTATACCTTCTACATGTACTTGTAGTAAATAAACATATTATTATTATTATTATTATTATTATTATTATTATTATTATTATTATTATTATTATTATTATTATTATTATTATGTAATATATAAGTTTTCTTTTCCTCCTTGAGAGGTTCCAACAGCTCATGTCTGTTCTTCCTCACTGCCGTGTGCGAAACCCCAAATACCTACAGTTGCTTCTCGCTCTCTTTTCCTTAACCTCTTCCGGTCTCATTCTCATGCCATCACAGTGTACACTGATGGTTCTAAATCCTCTGACGGTGTTGGGTTTGCATAGTAATTCAGTTATTAGACTCAGCTAGCATTTTTACAGCTGAATTGTATACAATTCTCATTGCAATTATCTGTACTGCATCTATTTCTACCTCAACGTTTGTAGCAGTCTCAGATTCCTTTAGTGTTTTGCAAGATATTAAAAAAATTGATTTGCCTCATCCCTTAGTTCTTTGTATTCAACTTTCGTTGCGCCGCATTTCTAGCAAAAACAGAGAAACCTTTTTCTGCTGGGTCCCTGGTCATGTTGATGTTCAGGGCAATGAGCAGGTGGATTCTTCTGCTTAGTCAGCAGAACACGACCTCCCAGTTTCATACAGAGGTATTCCATTCTCAGACTATTTTCCTAACCACCTTCGCAACCGTTGACTACAACGTTGGTCCGATATGACTCATAACAAATTACATTCTATCAAACCAAGTTTAGGTTTCTGGCCGTCTTCTTTTCATCAATGTGAGGTTGGGAGACTCTGCTCTCCCATCCTCTCGCTAGGCACACTTGTCTTACTCATGGGTATCTCATGTAGAGGCGCCGTGTTCCACTCTGAGAATTGTGTGGTTCTAATTTCAGTTTCCCATATTAAACTGTCCTGTCTTGCAACGAGCACGTAGAATTTTCCTTCTACGTCGTCACCACTTTAACATCCCTTACTTTATCTTCCCTCCTTGCTGACACCCCCACTTTTGACACAGACTCCCTCTTTGACTCTTAGACAGCAGCCGGTTTATTACACAAACTTGGATAATATTTCCTTACAGCTTCAAGCTGGCACTGGACAAGCACCTAAAGTCAGTTCCTGATCAGCCGGGCTGTGGCTCGTACGTTGGTTTGCGTGCAGCCAGCAGCAACAGCCTGGTTGATCAGGCGCTGATCCACCAGGAGGCCTGGTCACAGACCGGGCCGCGGGGGCGTTGACCCCCGAAACTCTCTCCAGGTAAACTCCAGGTAAACAGCACTTCTCACAGTTCTTTCTAAATCTACCCCGGTTATCTTCTCCACCCTTGCTATTTTTTGCTCCAGCCACACCCTCTGACCTGCGGCGCTGTATGACCCTAGTGGGTTTAGTGCTTCTTTTTTATTGTAGTAGTGCTTAGTTTTCTATAATAAACATTTTCACAATGCACGACGTCTCAATTATATCTTGGTAAACTAAACTGGTATTCGTATTTTGCGAGTCGGCAGCCCTTTCCTCGTTTAAAATTAGTTGATATGTGTAAATTAGTTGCAAATTGCCTGACTAAGGAGCATATGTTCTAGATGCTCCTGAAAAAAAATAAAAAAAAACAAAAATTTTGAGTATAAGAAGAGGGGATTTAAACTCTCGACTTAACTCACACTCTCAGGTAAGAACCAGCAAGGGGCCAGGAAAAAGTGTGAATAGAAGTGAAGTAGTGGAGAAGATTATGGGCTGGAGAGGGAAGGAAAACTGCCACTGCTAAACCTAGCTGCTATGCACTGTGCGGCAGATTAGTTCGTACTCTGCAGATCGACAGTTCATGACAAGTCAGATGCAGGAACCAGGACAAGCGTGGCGTGGCCAACAGAATTCGACATATGCAACTCTCTCTATCTACACCGAGACACATGGCTATAGCAATGGCCTGGCTATGGTAATTTACATATATTTAATTATGAAGGCATAGAGCAGGATTGCAGATAAACAAGGAGGCGTTAGAATGGGTA